GAAGAAATGAAGATACATAAGATGTGTAAAAATCAAATCGCACATAAACGCTCAAAAAGAATGAGATGATACGAGAGTGATAAATGATACAAGACCACAGTGGTGTGAACTAAAAAAAAGAGGCTGTTTGAAACAGCTGATGTGTTTCTAGATTCCATGCAGAGTGTTTATTGTTCATTGATCAGGGGACAAAATATCAGTGAGCGGATGATTTAAGTTTTCTTAGAAATAGTTCTTATTTGTGACAAAAACATGAGGGCAGGAGTCGCCTCTGCACTGGGAAAGAGTCACCAAATTACAAAATAACAGGACGCATTTCATCTCAACCAGACTCTGGTGTCTTTTTTTTTCCCCCACTGTAATTATTATCATTTTTTTTAATGATTTACAGGAATCCTTCAGTTGTAAAGCAGTTGTAGTGTCCTGGAAATGCTTTATTTCTGTCCTTTATTTTTGTCTTGTTTTTTTTCTTCATATAAATTCTTCCATTTTTTTTCTTCTGTCATTGTGGACTCTGTAGCACAGTTACTGGCCTCAGGTACTGTGGGGAGCGGAGATACAAATGGATATTATTCTCTTGTCATTGTTGTTATTGCACTTTTGGAAAAAAAAAAGAAGACAACAACCGTGGGCTTGAATTAAAATGATGAGATAAATGTCAGACTATATGAACTGATGTGGGAGAGCTCCCGCAACAGGGCTGATATCTGTTCAAGGACCGTTAAAAAAAAAGAAGAAGAAATGTACTTCAGTTTTATTTCTCACATCAAAATTTATTTACCAGGAAATCATAGTTTGTGCCTTTCCAAGTAAAATGTTTAAAATTTAAGCAAGTCTCCTGCACTGACTTTTTATTTTTGCATTGTTTTTTTATGTATGCAAGTGGCATAATAATTATGAGTGTTGTTTTGTATGACTTCATTATTTTCACCCCTAATTTATCAAATGAATGTTCTGAATCTGGCTGATGGCTTATAAATGGACAATTCTAAGTTTCATTATTGGTTTAAAATATTTTGTGTAGTATGTATATTTTGTTATTGTTGAAATAATGTAATATCACTAGCTGGGTTTCCATCTTAACATAAAGCAGTTTGCATAAAAACAAACATGACATAGGTTTCCATGAGTTTAGGGCCATTTCACACCAAGCACAATAACATAGATATAAAAATAAAATATATTTGTGTCACTTTTCAAACGATAATGATCAGCAATGATCACTTGTCATTACGCCCGTGTGACCAACAAATGTCCTCAGTGAGTTGTTAGTGCATCTGACCAGTGAATCCAGCTCGTGTAGTCAATCTAATCAATCAGTGACTTTTTGTCACCACTAACAAATTTCTAACTTTTTCAATTTTTAAAGAAGGCAAAACAAAATTGTCGAAAGGGCAAAGGATACATTGGGTACTTTTTTATATTTTTACTATATTTGTACTATATTTTTATTATATTACTATTTGTATAATTTTATTAGCTAAAAAAGTTGTTTCTCTATATCTTTTTTCTTATAGCTGTGGTTTAAACTGTTGTTTTACAATCAGAATGATTGTATTTTATTTTTAGAACTTAGAATTTAGAATTTTTAGAACAACACTTTTATTGTTTTCTTTATAATTTACCATGAATGGTGTGAACGGGCCTTTTGGAGCATCTAGCTGTAGTATTGGTAACCTAGTAACCAACAGTAAACAAGGCGAACATATTAGAAACAGCCGATTAGTCATGTGGGTGTAATGTTTCCTACATCAGATTTACTACATCAGGTGTGATTTTTATTTAATTTTTTTTACAATTAGGCTTCCATCTCCTATTATTTGCATTAACATTTTTTGCACAAGTCCAAAACCACCTCAAGCAAAGCATTAAGTTTTTGCAAATGAAGAGATTTTTATTCAAACATTGCCATTCTCACCACTTATTTCTCATGCAATGCTTCAAATTGTGCATTACCACAGGGGTTGTATCTGAAATGGCACCCATAGTCTTAAATAGCGCACTTTGAGAGAGCAGACATTTGTGGTGTTCAAAACCATAATGGACATTCTGAAGTGCGCTCAATCAAACCTACCATGCACAGCAATAATGAATGTACAACTGCTGCTAGAGAATATCCTTAATGCATTGTAATAGTTTGCATGGCAAATGAATTCCCGCATCTGACCACAAGATGGCAAACTGTTATTATTTTTGTTTGTGTACATGACCGAAATCAAAATACTTTATTATTGACAGCTAAATGTTAAATAATTATCACAGGGTTTGACCAGCTGATATCTGACTGAGGGATTTATCGATCAGCAAAGCACTAAATGGAATCTCTTATTGTGCTCAAATTCACTGACTAGTTTTCATTCATTCCTTTGAATGCATAATATTAGTGGACTAATGTAGAGAATAGTGAACGATTGTATAGAGGTAATTTCGGATTCTGCCATGGTGATGGAAACCCAGCTACTGCTACTTTATTAATTGCACCTGATAAAATGTAACACAAATATTTAAAATCCAATCACATGACAGAAAATCATTGCAATTAGGCATGTTGAAGTGAACTAAGACGATCTGCTGAAGTTCAAAATGAGCCTCAGAATGTGGAATAAAGTTTATGTAAGTGACTTTCAACATGGTTGATGGTGCCAGACAGGCCGGTCTGGGTTTTTCAGAAATGTCTTGTATACTGGTCTCTTAACACTTACGACCATTTTTAGGATTTTGCGGAGAGTGGTCCAAAAATAAGACAATATCCATTGAACAGCTGTTCTGTGGGTGAAAAAGCCACGTTGATGCCGGAGGTCAGAGAAGAATGAACAGATTGACTCAAAGACAGAATTTGAGAACTTAAAAAAAACACTCGTTGTAAGCATTGTCTGCAGAAGAGCATCTCTGAGAGCACAAATTGACAGCAGATAAGCTTCAGCAGAAGAACTACGTTTAAATTAATAAGAATTAGCAACTAAATCAAAAAGTTAGTGATGAGTTTTTGAATGTAACAGCGCCTTTGGTGACACTCCTGTCAGATGAGGTCTGGAAACTGAGGCTGCAGTTTACAGAGCCTCACTAAAATTTGTCAATGGAAGATGGAAAAAGGGTTTCCTGCTCTGATGACATTCGATTTCTTCAACAACATTGATGTGGAAGCAACATGAAAGCATTGATCTGTCCTGTCTTGTATAAGCTGCTCAGGATAAAAGTGTTTTGTTTTGTTTTTTTCTGGACATATTCTGGGCATCTCCATACAAAATTTGCATTGTTTAAACAGCACAACCTGCTTGATCATTGTTGATTACCAATGTCCACACAGTGACCACAATGTGATGCTACTTCCAGCAGGATAGCACCCTATGTCACTAAGCTCAAATCATCTTAAACTGGTTTCCTGACAATTCGTTCTTTATATTCAAATACCCTCCAGTCACCAGACTCTAGAGCGATACAGTTCACCCAAAAAATGAAAGTTGCCTCATCATTAATTTTTCCTCATGAGGTTTTAAGCCTTTACAAATTTCTTTCTTCTGTTAAACACAAAAGCAAATCTTTTGAAGAATGTTGGTTCTGTGACCCATCAACTTCAATAGAAAAGAAATTACCAAAGAAATCAATGGGTAACTCGTTTCTTCAAAGAGGAAGAAGAAAGAAACTTAAATAGAATTTGAACAAGTGAATGGGTGAATAAATGACAGAAATGTAATTGTTGGGTGAACTACTTTTAAATGCAACATCTAACATTATTATTTTATGATGAATGAGCTATGGACCTGTCTGTCATATTAATGCCATATGGTCATATCAGACATCTGTGAGTGTATTAGATGTTAACAAAAATTAACTGTTATTTAGTAATACCAGGTGTAGTCATTTATATATAGTGTAACATCTGGCAAAAATATTTAGAAATGTCTTTTATAAAATACTCATTTCCCAATCAGATAATTAAGTTTCTAGTTCTTAATCTTAATTAGATTTACTTTGTTAGTTTTGATCCATGCATATTTATTGTGCCCAACAGAAGTCATATTATTGCTAAAATGTTTGTGTGGTCTGTTATGCGAGTCTTTACAAAAAATGTGATCATAGTTTCTGCAGTCTCAGAATTAAAGATACAAATGCTGCCATTATGGTAGTGCCTTTTCAGAAGGTACACTTTATACACACACACACACACACACACACACACAAATCACCCAGTACTTTATCCAAGTGAAAATTTATCTTTATTTCAGTTTAATATTATAGTTTAACAATAATAACTATTTGTTTTATTTTTCAAGTAATATTTTAAGTTCAAAACATAGTTAAATATAAATGTTTTTAATTTAGAGATCAACTAAGAAATATTTGTTTTGACCAATGTAAAATTAGAGGTTACTCACTCAGGCCAGCGTATGCATATTAAACAGAAGCTCAATGTGCTTTGTACTTTCATGGATTTAAAAAAATATTGTTTAAGGCAAATGAATTATTTTTCATCGGCTCAAGTAATCAAATTTAGAGGTGTTTTTGTTTTGATTAAAGCTAAAGTCTGAATTATTTGCCCTCTTTTTAATTTTTTATTCTTTTTTTTTATATTTCAAAAATGATGTTTAACAAAGCAAGGACATTTTCACAGTATGTCTGATAATATTTTTTCTTTCTGGAGAAAGCCTTAGTTGTTTTATTTCGACTAGAATAAAAGCGTTTTTTAAAATTTTTTAAAACCCATATTAAGGTCAAAATTATTAGCCCCATTAAGCAATAAATTTAATTTCGATAGTCTACAGAACAAACCATCGTTATACAATAACTTGCCTAATTACCCTAACCTGCCTAGTTAACCTAATTAACCTAGTTAAGCCTTTAAATGTCACTTTAAGCTGTATAGAAGCATCATAGAAATGAGTTGTTATTATTATGTTTAGAAATGTGTTAAAATCTCTCCATTAAAAAACAAACAGGGGGGCTAATAATTCGGACCTCAACATTTCTTGTTTGGAACAAAAGGAAAATTTAAATTAATTGACTTTCTTCAACAAGACAAATATGTTTTGTACCAAGTTATATAAAATTGTTCCGATGGAGATAGAAAATATTGTTTAGGGCAAATAATGTATTTTTCTATTAGTTCAAATTTTACATTTTTTATTCCAATATCCAGTGTAGATACTAATAACGTAAATGATACTAATATGGAAAAATATTTGCTTCCAGGACTAAAATGTAACAACATTCAAGATATGAGGCAATAAATGCAACCATTATTATATTTCTTTATCTTAATGAAAATGTCCTCACCCTCAAGTAGTTCTAAAGCTTATCCGTCTCTTTCTTCTGTTTCTTTGGGCTTTTGCATCCTTTGTGTTTAAAAGATATATAGATTAAAGACATGTTTGGAATAAGTGGAGGGTGAATAAACCATTTTAATTTTTAGGTAAACGAATTATAATATGAGCAGTGTTGCATTTTTTGCGCTTGAATTTGCTTTTAAATGTATTTCAAAGCTTTGATAGCTTCAGAGCTTTATGTTAAATTCTCACGCTGGTTTCTCAGCACGTGATAGTGTTTTGTTTTGACAGTTAAATGAGACGCTGGCATCTTTTCCTGCTTTAAAAGAGGGCATGTGCTGTCTATGAAAATCATTTAATGGTAACATCCCCTTTTCTCGAGTTATAGCGTGGGTGTCAGACGAAGAAATAAAACCGAAAACGGGCACTGCTGGATGCAGACAATCGCTGACAGGACCCATTTCACTTTTACTTCAGGACTAAAGCATCAATAAGTGCGATTCTGGTGTTCAGTTCTTTCCACTGACTCTTTGCTGCTGACTGCGTATAAAAGCGTCTATTTGATCTTTTTTTTTGGTTTATAGTTGATTCAGGATGCCGGATCAGCCGGTGACTTTACCCGTGTGCAGGAGACTGACATACGCCGTGGGTCATTTCTTCAATGATCTCTGCGCGTCTATGTGGTTCACCTATTTGCTGGTGTTTTATCACTCGGTTCTCGGTTTTAAGGACACAAACGCAGGTGCACTGCTGCTGGTCGGACAGATAGCTGATGGGATCTGCACTCCGCTTGTCGGCTATGAATCGGATCGGACGTCAGGATGTGGAAAATATGGGAAAAGAAAGACTTGGCATTTAGTGGGTAAGCGCGTACCTGTGGTTAACTGAGGGAGCGCGCCGTAAATTTAAATAGTCTGATCTCCTCATTTTCATTATAAGTTAGAAAGAGTTAAGGCTTTAATGAGCTGCTTTACAGCAATCTCTGGTCAACCTGAAACACTTTAACTCTCTGCATATTACCTAAGTAGGTGAAGCCGTAAATGCCCTCTGACAGGAATCCCCCTCAACCGGAAAAATAAACGGAAGCTCGTCAGCTGTCGTCAGGCAGCTGTAAGGTGTACTTTTCACCAAAAGGGTAGAAAATAGAGCCTTAAATTAAAAACAAAACCTGAAGTGTTTTCTTTAAAATGTCAATGGATTGTTCGTGATGTTCAGATAATCAAGCATTTTGATATGAAGTGTTTTGTTTACCTACTTTTCAGATAACGTCATAGGCTACCATTTGTTTAACATTAACTACTGTAAAACCCTTGTTTTTACCTTTTACAGCCTATCTATATATAACATTTTAAATAGATCAGTTTTTATTGGCTAAAATAAAAACCAATACTACTTATTTAAGTTTTACCAATTCTCATACTGAATATACTTTAAGCTAGTCTAAGTTTTAAGTTGTAGGTTTGTAGCCTATTTAATGAGATGCAAACGCATGCAGCCCCTAAGCAAAAGTGAATATGATTTGCTTTATCTAATTTTAATATAGTTTTTTAAAGTAGAGATACCAAATAATTAATTTATATCTGTGCCTACTGCATTAACTATTATTGAATTAGCTATGCTGTTAGACTGCTGCAATTTTACAGTAACTTGCGTCAAAAACGCCCTCTAAAATACCACTTGCATACTGTACAGTACACTACTGTATTGTGCACTGCATTATAACTTTTACAGTAACTTACTATATATTAGGAATTTGTGGTATTCTACTGTAAATAAAAGCAGTACCGCTGCTGTAAAAAATGATAGACTTGAATGTTAATCAGTGTTTTTTATCCAGTAAAAGTACTGTAATGTAATAATACTGTAAAATTAATTAATTTCAGAAATTGTAATATGGGAATGCTACTGTGAAACACATTTATGGTAAGCTACTGTAAAAAGAGGCTACTGTAAAATTACAGTAATTTGCTGGCAACCATGCTGCCAGTAAGTTACAGCAAAATATAATTAAAAAAATATAATAGTGTATTTATTATCTATTTAGCACTATGTGTGCCCACATTATTTTCTGTGAAAATTACTTTACTATAACAGCTGAGGTGAACAGCTGGCCATGATGGATATTGCTATACTAGAATTTGCCAAAATTTACCAACACTTCCTTAGTATCATATTTCACTACAATCACTGCTCACTTCACTCTCCATTCCTACCAGGAACATTAAGTGTGTTTGCCTCATTCCCATTCATATTCAACCCCTGTATCGGATGTGATGAGAAAACCTCGCAGATATTGGGAATCATTTACATCATCCCATTCATCATCATCTTCCAGTTTGGCTGGGCTGCGACTCAGATATCCCACCTGTCACTCATTCCTGAGCTGGTCAACTGTGAACACGCCAAAGTGGAACTGACTTCGTACAGGTATGAGAATGAAATAATGTCTTGGAAATAAAATAGAAAACCACAAGAAAACTAAATGAAATAAAAATTCTATTTTATATGAATTAAAATATATATATGTAGGTAAGTATTTTATTTAATTTGTTACTGTATTTGACGTGTGTTTGTAAACATGCATAATGAATAGACACAGTACTAACAAGACATGTAAATACAAACTTTTATTTCAGGTATAATGAATTGCGATTCATTTGACAGCCCTACTTAGCAAGTTTAATGATCATTTTCTTTTTTTAATAATCTGCATCATTTTTTTAAAAGAGAAACAAGCACATCCTACATTTTATTTTCTGTTGTTCAAACACTTATCTGTAATGCGAGTCAGAAAGAACAGATGTCTTTCTTCTCTGTCTCTTTTTAGACTCTGTTTAGAGTTTAGACTTTTAACGAAACTCTGGCTATTGAGTCTCATGCAACTTTGTCATTGATGCATTTAAAGTATTGTTTGATTCCTGAACAGGTATGCTTTCACAGTGGTGGCAAACATTACGGTGTATGCTGTGGCGTGGCTCTTGTTTCATTTCCAATCCCAACAAACAGAGGACCCATCCATAACCCAGAATCTGAGCTGGGCTGATGTTCCCACATTTAGAGTGAGTACATGCAAATATGCCCATTGCCGACTTAAAAAAGACCAAATTTGAATATTTGTACTTAAGATAAATATCAAGCTGAAGCTTTTAAAATCATAATCAACATTTTTTTAATGGAATTTGCATATATTAATTGATTTCTATTACTACAGCTTGTAATTAAAGTAAAAAAACAAATACACTGCATGACTTCCTATGTTGTTTTGGGGACATTTTTTCTGAAAAATCCTGTTTACACGTAGTTTTTAGGGTGCTTTTACAGCTGTGGATTGTTTGGATTGTTCCAAACACCAATTAAAATTGTTATAAAGTTGCTTTTTGTTCTTGGTACTGTTTGCTTTCACATGGCAAAGTTTCTTAACAGACCAAAATTATTAACACAAGTCACGTGGAAGTAAACTCTTCTCACATTGGTCAGAGTTTTGTTTTTGGATTCCACTCCCCTGTCATTCGTCTTTTTTTTTAACGATGAGAAGTAAGACATTAAGTGAAAAGGTACACTTTCATTTTAAATGGTGATGCCCACAGACATCATCACCAAATATAAACCAGATTTAAGACTTGCTCATACATAGCCTCATTTCAGTTGTCAAGGGTTTTAAAATGTATATCTGTTTTATATAAGAAATTGCATACTGGTAGAGGATCCCATCTTCATCATTCTCTCTTCTTATAGCTATATACACTTACCAGTCACTTCATTAGGTACTCCTGTCCAACTGCTCATTAACGCAAATTTCCAATCAGCCAATTACATGGCAGCAGCTCAACGCATTTACGCATGACATGGTCAAGACGATCTGCTGCATTTCAAACCGATCAGCATTAGAAGGTCTAAGAACACATTTGTGTGCCAAAATAGCTGTAAAAATGATTTTGTTCACCAATGTCTTCCCCATTTGATTATAGTTTATCAATAAATGTTGAAAAATGTGAAAGTATTGCTCGTTGTTAGTTCATGTTAGGCTCCTCAAACATATAAAACTTTGTTCTGATCTTGGGGGAGGGAAATATCCTGCTATGGTTGTACAGGGAAATTTTGTGCTAGGCTAAAAAAAAAAGAAGCTTGATAAGTGGCTTTTACAGCTTATCTCACCATTTCTAGTGTTATATCAGCTATATTTCGATTGATAAACTTGTGTTGTAACTCTTAAATGAATACCCCCCACCCCCTCAATTTAATTAAACTTGAACGTTTACCACTGACGTGCCAGTAAGTCTACGCCACAAAGATAATGGATGTCATACACAGAATGGTGGTTGATGAATGCAGCACTTCTTGACACACAAAAAAATTGACCTCTATGAGGCACAACTTAATGCTGTTTCAACGGGTTTCAGGATATAACACTTCAACGCCATGTGTCAATTCTCTAACTAATGGCTGGCTATTCTAACGTGGTATAATGTGAATCTTGGGTGGAGAAAGGATAGTTTTATGAGAGTTGGACTCTATAGCTTAGATCACTGGAGGCTCTGGTATCACTGCTACTTTGATCATGCTTTCGTTCTACAAAGCTACACAACAGGGGTTCCCTACTGGCTGAATTATGGACATCACCTATATGGTATATAAATTTAGGTTAACTATGTTTTTATATAATAACTTTAACTGTTAAACAAGCTATTCGGTTCTGGTTATTAAAAATTATTAGAGGCAATTAAAGTTATGGTAACTAATATACTTTTCCGAATTTGATTGTAATGTAGTGTGCACCTTTTGTAAAGCTGCTTTTGAACAATAATTTATGTAAAGTGTATTATACAAATAAACTTGAATTGAATTGAATCAAAGGAGCAGGGGTGCTCAATTTGTGATTCAGGGTGCTAGGAGGAAAAATATCTGGCTCCATACAATTCACTAATCATGTTTATAATATAATTTAATTTACCTAGCATATCTTTCTTGTCTATTTTTTGCTTCTCTCTTATGTTAAGAAATGCTGATTTTAAGACTGCTTTAGTTTCGCTAGATCTTAGAGAATTTAACTCCTCTGTTTAACAATTGAGTGTGGTCCAGCTCTGTTTGCAGAGTGGTCATGTCAGTTTTCACACTACAGAAGCTGTGCTTCTTGGCTTTCAGTGATAGCCTGTAAACCTTTTGTCTCTGAAGACAGTCTACATCCTTTAGTTCTTAGCTTCAAATTATACTTATACGCAAATCTGCCAGCCTATGTTTGAGCTCCTTAAACTTCAAATATAAAACTTCGTTCTGATCGTGGGCTAGGGAAATATCCTGCTTTGGTTGTACAGGGAAATTTTGTGCTAGGCTGAAAAAAAATCTTGATAGTGGGGGGTCTCTGCCGTTATATCAGCCATATTTATTTACTAGATACATTTGTGTTGTATATCCTTAACAAATATATAATAAAAATTCTTTTACACAAATGCCAATATCAAACTGTAATCACTTCACAAACATATTCATAGATTATACCGTCGTTAGTCGTTAAGCATGGACAACAATCATATCAGACTTAGAGGAAACCGCTTTTGCTTTGCAACTGGTTACTTTATGAATTTGATGGCTGATTTAGTCTCTTGCTAAGGTTACCTTGATTGCAGTTTTCCTAGTGCATTAACATTGTGTCGATAAAACAGAATTTTCCATTTCAATCTAAGTCAGCCTTACGCTGGGCACCATATAATATAGTAATAAATTCTTTGGTTTGTCTCAAACATTCAAATAAATATTATTATATTGATATTTTGGTCACTCCTCGCTTAAGGTCAGTGCGAGTATCAAATAAGTAACTCCTTTTTAACAGGGCACCAGTCACTGTATTGCACTGTGGCAATAATCAACAATCAAGGATTCTAATAAGGTTAACTTTATTTTAAAATAACAAACAACTGAGGAAGTTTTTGTTAATGAATATCAGTTACAAACATACTGAAGTACACTATGCCAAGTTCTCAGAAAGAGGTTTTGAATGTAATACAGTATGTACGCTTCTGCTGTTGATGATGCAGTGGTAGAGAGAAGCTGGATCTTCCTGCAGGATCTTCTGCATATTATAACTATATATGTCGATTAAGAAGGCAAATGTTGAGTAGTTCAAAAGACAGTTCTGCAAGTTATGGCCTTTTTACACCTTTGTTTTTCAGAAAAACAAAGGGCAGATATTGATTCATTGATCGAAGGAACTTCCGTCTCTCTCATTGCAGCTGTTAACTGATCAGCTTAAACAAAAGAGGCAGAGTTTAACAGTAACAGTTTGAGTTTTTGAAGAATGCTGGTAACATAAGAGTTTCAGGACAAAATAAAACAATTCAATGGAAACCAAAATGTTGTTTGCCAACATTCTTCAGCATATTATTTATTTAAATGCTCTCATAAAATATATCTTTTGTCTTTGTTTGTTACAGTATCTGGCACTTACAGTATGGGGCATTGGTACAGTTACCTCTGTCATTTTTCACCTGGGCACTAAAGAAGCCGTTCAGCCTCAGGAGGGTGAAGAGACTGGAAAGTCTGAGGTTTCCAGTTTCTCTTCCCAAACCTCTGGAGCCCTGCTCCGATGGAAGCACTGGCTAGTCGAACCAGCCTTCTATCAGGTGATCTTATAGAGACCTCTCAATTTTGACATAAACAATAAACACAGACCCCCTGATTATGCGCACTGCATAATTATCACCTAATAATCATTTTAAAACTGATGATAATAATATATTTAATGGTTTAATCATATCAAAGGAATCATTTTGTTTTCTTTCTCCAGGTTGCCTTACTATATATGTGCACTAGACTGATCGTAAACATGTCCCAAACGTACATCCCGATGTATCTGACAAACTCCTTATTACTGCCAAAGGTGAGGAGCATGACACTTCCAAATAAAAACTCATAGGTCATTTCTAGTAAACTTGATTATTATACATTAATTAAAACATATTAAACATTATTAGAATATTTGTTGCCATTATTTAGCCTAAAACTACTAGTAATAAATAGTTTCAGTCTTTTAAAAAAGGCTAAATGAAAGTAATTTTAAAATAATTTTTTTAAAAGAAGCATTAAAATAATAAACATAACAAATTTGAATAATTTAATTAAACAACTACAATGAAAAGACTAAAATTTGAAAAAAAATATATATACATTTAATTATTGAAAGTACCCTAATAAATACCTTATTTATAAATCTATAAAAATAACATTGTAGAACACATTTCAATTTTTTTTGGTCCACATGAAAGTCAGCGTTGTCCACTAAAACTTTAGAGCATTGAGGAAAGGTGGTTTTATATTCTTTTTGATATTCAATCTTTGTGTGGCTTTGTTTAATAAAATAGTAAAGTAAAATTTTAAGTTTCTCTTTAAGCAAGGCAAGTTTATTTATAAAGCACATTTCATACAAATAAGTAATTCAAAGTGCTTTACATAAATAGGAATAAAAGAAACAAATATAATAAAATAAAAACAAAGAATAAAAATTATTAAAAACAGATAAAATCAGATTAAAATGTGTTAAAATAAGTTTTAAAGGAATGAAAAAGAAAAAAAGGCTGTGGGACATAGCACAGTGCTCATTCAGTAAAGCAGGGGTCAGGAACCTTTTTTCAGCAAGCAGCCATTTCAGTTTTTTTTTTTGTCAAATGCATTTTTTAAAAAGCCATATATAACAAAACCTTTATATATTTATACACACAACCTTTATATATGTCCATGCATAATAATAAAAAAAATATGACGCACAACAATGTATGAAAAAGGACAATTTGCAGATTTTTTTTCTTTTTTCCATCGCCGTTTGAATGTTTGAATTTACGTGTGAGTTTACCATAGAAATGTAAGAAATATAACTTGCTCTTTATTGTTATCGCGATTCAAGTTACCACAGCACCACATATGCGCATTGGTTAAAACGTCCTTTTATTCTAAACTGAGTTCTTATTCATTTTGTTGTAGAAAATATTTTTGATTTGATTTAATCTGATTTATTTATTTTCGAACAAAAATATCATACATAAACTATCTTGAACAAAAATACATTTCAACATGGTCGAAAATGGAGTGGGATGAAGCACAAGCTTATTATTTTTCCACCCCATTACCACATCCATCATTCGTCTATTACTTAAATTTATTTCTTCTTTTACCTATCTCTTCTTTTTACATGAAACATATTTGATCCTTTTGGCATCTTTGACAAATAATGTTTGATTCCATTTGTACCTTTACATTTTGTAGCATAGACCCAGAGAAAAAAAAAAAACATAGTACTTCAAATAGCCATTAATTAAAGTTTCATCATACCTTTCTCTTTTTATGCTTTTTTAATCACCTTCATCATTATATTCCTTTAAAAATATATATTTATACCACATAAAGACAATATAAAGACAATTGTAATTATATTTTCAATAGGAAACTGATTTCTAGAAATTAAAAATTTGAAATGTTATTGAAAAAGACAACTGGAAAGCCACATATTTTTGATTAAAGAGCCACATGTGGCTCCCGAGCCATAAGTTCCCTACCCCTGCAGTAAAGGCACAGCTAAACAGATGTGTGTTCAGTCTTGATTTGAACGTGCCTAATGTTGGAGCACATCTGATCATTTCTGAAAGCTGGTTCCAGCAGCTGGGGGTGCAGTAGCTGAAGGCGGATTTGCCCTGCTTTGAATGAAGTCTTGGAATTTCTCATTTACTTGACCATAATGCGAGTGATCTGTTAGGTTTGTATTCAGTGAGCATATCTGCAATGTATTGAGTAGTAATACTTTCAAATCTATTCTGAATGTAACTGAGAGCCAGAGTAAAGATCTGAGGACAGGTGTGATGTGCTCTGATTTTATGGTTCTGGTCAGAATCCTGGCAGCAGTGTTCTGGATGAGTTGCAACTGTCTGACTGTCTTTTTGGGAAGGCCAGTGAGGACTCCATTACAGTAATCTACTCTGCTGCTGATAAAATCATGATCATGTTTTTCTAAGTCCTCAACGGAAACAAAGCATCTCATTCTTGCAATGTTTTTGAGATGATAGTATGCTGATTTAATTGAAATATTCCCTCTGAAATTGAATGCAAGTATAATATAACATGAGCAGCATTTAACTGACTGTGAACAATGCTGTACTTTGATAGTCATTGTGTGCTAATATGATTTCCCTATTTAGAGTTTGCAAACAATACTTTTCTGAAATTATATTAAGAAGTTGAAAGAATATGTGAATATAAAACCAACTTTACCCTTCTCTTTGGAGCACAGTAACTTTAATTTCTTGTGCCAAAAATTTAATAATAATAATAATAATATTTACACAGCGTATTTGTACTTATTTACATTTAACCACATTTGTGCTATAGGGCTGGTTTGGGCAGTTGTAATGATAAAATAACACGTAATATCCTCTCGTTTTTGCAGAACTACATTGCAACAATTCCCCTGGTTATGTACGTCAGCGGCTTTGTATCTTCTCTGGTTATGAAGCCTGTAAGCAAATGGATCGGCACTTCTGTGAGTTCCCACACTTTCTCCGACTGGTTCAGCATATTGTAAATCAAACGACACACCTCATATGCCATTTCCCCCTTTCAGATGACCTATTTTGCAGGTCTTGTGCCCATAATGGCATTTTCCTTTTGGGTTTTGGTGGATCTGAACATGGGTTCACGGGTTTACGGAGCCGCTGTGCTGCTGGGAGCGGGATCTGCTGTCATTCTGGTCATGTCTCTGTCCATGACTGCCAATCTAATCGGAGATCAGACAGTATGTGATGATGTCTTAAATGTATATAAATATATCAACAAATCCATTTTTGAAAGGGGTTTGCAAAACTGTGTATGATTTTGACAAGAATGTTCAGGTTTGAAAATAGGTTGACTGTGTTGATGTCAGATACTCATGGAGGACAATATAAAGGCTGATGTTTGCACACGTACTTGAGCTGAAATAACACAATTCTGAATTTTTTTTTTGCAACAACTTAATTGTTTTATGGTTAATCTACTTAAATTTGTAAAAATTAATGTGTTAACTTAATTCCTTCATGTTGTCCCAACTCAAATGGATTATGTGGAACCCAGCATTTTTTAAAAGTGTGTATACAAACATCTCAGCATATCATTGAAAGAATTGTCTCAAATACAGCAATTTCATTAGCTGTTTTGCTTTTTGATGGATTGTCAGTCAACCATTAAATTTTATGATTTAAATACATTTTTATCGATTGCCTTTCATACTTCCATGACCTTTTTTAGAGAATTTAAATGTTGTTGTTTTTTACTGGAGTATTTTATTAGTAAACACATTGATTCAAAAGTAGACTGCAATGTTCATAGAAGGCCATATAAGATATTTGCACACGTATAAACCATTTAGCCTACTTTTTTTTAATATCCCTGACTAATAAGTAATAATTATTGTCTGAGGTTTGCATACATAAATACCAACATGCCATTGTGAAAACAGTATCACATATAACAATTTCAATATCTGTTTCTTTTCACCTATTTTTATGCTTATTTGGAAATATTGCACAAAAATGTGTAATGGAAATGCCAAGATGTGCATACATTTTTTAAATGCACATAAAAAAGGAGGACAAAATATCCAAAGTAGGATATTTTTATTCAATAAAAAAAAAAAAAAATCAAGTACGATGAAAACAATTATCGAATAAATTCCAGCATGCAAAACAAAAAATCATGCATACTGTCAGTTTGTTTTAACATATTTAAAACATATAAAACATACAGAGTTAAAAGGATTTGAGCTAAACAAAATAATATGAACAGACAAACAAAGTTGTTGTCAGAGTTATTAGCCCCTTTTTAACATTTTTTCTTTTTTATATATTTCCCAAATTCTGTTTAACAGAGCAAGGAAATTTTCACAGTATGTCTGATAATATTTTTTCGTCTGGAAAAAGTCTTATTTGTTTTATTTCGACTAGATAAAAAGCAGCCTTTAATTTTTAAAAGCCACCTTATGGCCAATATTATTAGCCCCTTTAAGCATTTTGTTTTTCGACTGTCTACAGAACAAACCATCATTATACATACCTAATTTCCCTAACCTGCCTAGTTAACCTAATTAACCAAGTTAAGCCTTTAAATGTCACAGCTGTATAGAACTGTCTTAGAAATATCTAGTATAATCTTATGTCCTGTCATCATGGCAAAGATAAAATAAATCAGTTATTAGAGATGAGTTATAAAAACTATTGTGTTTAGAAATGTGTTAAAAAAATCTTCTCCCCATTAAACAGAAATTGGGGAAAAAATAAACAGCGGTCTAATAATTCAGGGGGGCTAAAAATTCTGACTTCAACTGTATACAATTATAAGTACATACAGTATATTCAATACTCTGAATAAAAAACAACATATGATATACAAAAACATATGATATACAGTATTATAGTAAATAATAATAATAAAAATAATAATGATAAATTAATCAAATTCACCTTTTTCTTTTCGATATTTAGCACCAGTTTATCAGGAAATTATGATTATGTTCTCTCTGACGTACTGGATGAAAATGTTGCTTTATTCACAAATATTTAAGGCAATATTCTAGTTTAATTGTCATCTTTGGATGGAAACATAGCTATTGGCTGTTTTGCTTGTTTTTGTGACAGTTAATTTGACAAAGTGCCCCTAGACTTGGATACAGACTGCTTGTTCATATCACATCAAATAATAAAAAAATATTTGTTTGTTTTTTTTTGTTGCAAATACTTAATGGTAGAGGACCATTATGAAACATTTTTAAAAATATCAGTTATAAACTGTTTAAACGTCAGTTTGCCAGGCTGGGTTGGCTGTAACAAAACAAAAAGGAGCAGTAACGAAGCCAGTTCAAAACAGCTTGCTCAATCAATGAATCTAATGAAAATGTTTCTTTTCACAGCAAAGTGGCGCTTTTGTGTACGGTGCAATGAGCTTCACTGATAAGGTGGCCAACGGACTGGGAGTCATGATAATCCAGGCTTTACATCCTTGTCAGTGAGTGCAGTCCAGCATCTCCAATGAAAGACTCTTTACAAACTGCAAGACAAGCTTGTGACCGGAGTGGCTAGGAATGTACAATCTTTAAATGCTCTGCTTGTTTGCCAATTCCATCTTGAATGCATTTAAACCGATAATCCACTTTTTGTCTCATTTTTGGACAAATGTTCACTCATTGTTTTAATGTTTCTGGGTGTGTGTGTTGTGGTTGGCCTGTGTGTGCAGAGTCTGTAGAAACTATTCTAACGTTTAATATACAGTTGAAGTCAAAATTATTAGCCTTCCTGTAAATTTGTTTTTCTTCAAATATTTCCCAAATTATGTTTAACAGAGCAAAGTATTTCCTATTTTTTTTTTCGTCTGGAGAAAATCTTAATTTCCGCTAGAATAAAAGCAGTTTTTAATAATAATAATAAAAAAACATTTTAAAGTCAATATTTTTAGCCCCTTACGTAATATTGTTTCGATAGTCTACAGGACAAACCATTGTTGTACAATGACTTGCCTAATTACCCTTACCTGCCTAGTTAACCTAATGAACCTAGCTAATCCTTCACTTTAAGCTGAATACTAGTATCTTGAAAAATATTTAGTAAAATATAATGTACTGTCATCATGGCAAAAATAAAAGTAATTACAAATGAGTTATTAAAACGATTATGTTTAGAAATGTGTTCAAAAAAATCGCTCTGTTAAACAGAAATTGGGGGAAAAAAAATATACAGGGGGGCTAATAATTCTGACTTGAGCTGTAGGTTTCTACTGTTTCTTATGTTATTTTTCTCTTTGTGGACAGAACACTGGAATCTGACTGTAAATGGTTTTACCACAACGTGATGGTCATTGTCACAGCTGGCGTGTCTGCTGTTGCAGCTCTTTGTCTGGCTACGATTCTCATCTGGCCCATTACGATTCGCAGACGTGAGTCTCAACTTGAAATACTGATGAATATTCAATGACTTGTTAACAGAATTTCCAGATGCTGGTCTTTATATTGCACTAAAAGAGGAACTGAAAGAAACTTTTGTTAGTGTAAGAATTTAAATTCTGTTGGCTGGAGTTTCAAACCAGGTTTGTTATGTTACTGAATGTGTGGTGCTGGTTGAATTAACCGACAGCTGACAGGGATTTTTATACACTGTAATAATACTGGGTTCCACACAATTCCCTCATGTTGTCACAAATCACATAAGTCGATTAAATTAACGTAACAATTTTTACAAATTTAACATAAAACAAATAGTTTGTCTCAAAAACAACTTAAAAATTATATTGTTTTAACTGATTTTAAAAATCATGAAGACCAAAGGTTTTACAAAATTAACTTTTGCAGCACATTTAAAATTGGTACACTATTTCACATTCTGAACTAGCCTAAACCTGAAGAACCATTCGTTTCTGAAATAAATAAATAATATATTAAGTTCTTAATATATTATTAATATAATAAAATAATATATTAAGTGAATGTATATTTCAGAACAGTCCAAATCTATAAAGCATGGAGGATTATTTCTAGAGGAACATCATCAAAACAACATAAATACTTTAATTTTCTGATGAAAAAGGTTACACATTTTTCATGTTGTGCTTTGTCAGCAGCAGTACACATTCATTTTGTTAAACAACAAATGTCTTTGAGTTACAGAGATAAAGCTAAATATGTTTTTTTGTGCAAATAATAGATGTTTTATATATATATATATATATACAGATGATGTTAAACAGAGCAATGCAATTTTCACAGTATGTCTGATAATATTTTTTTCTTTCGGAGACAGTCTTATTTGTTTTATTTCAGCTAGAATAAAAGCAGTTTTAAATTTTTTAAACACCATTTTAAGGTCAAATTTATTAGCCCCTTTAAGCAATATTTTCTCCGATTGTCTACAGAACAAACCATTGTTATACAAAAACTTGCCTAATTACCCTAACTTGCCTAGTTAACCTAATTAACCTAGTTAAGCCTTTAAATGTCACTTTAAGCTGTGTAGAAGTGTCTTGAAAAATATCTAGTTAAACATTATTTACGGGGGAGGCAGTGGTGCAGTAGGTAGTGCTGTCGCCTCACATCAAGGTCGCTGATTCGAACCTTGGCTCAGTTGGCGTTTCTGTGTGGAGTTTGCATGTTCTCCCTGCCTTCGCGTGGATTTCCTCTAGGTGCTCCGGTTTCCCCCACAGTCCAAAAACATGTGGAATTGGGCAGGCTAAATTGTCCGTTGTGTGTGTGTCTGTGAGTGTGTGTCTGTGAGTGTGTGTCTGTGAGTGTGTGTGTGTGTGTGTGTGTGTGTGTGTGTGTGTGAGATGGGTTGTGGCTGGAAGGGCATCCGCTGCGTAAAAACTTGCTGGATAAGTTGGCGGTTCATTCCGCTGTGGCGGCCCCGGATTAATAAAGGGACTAAGCCAACAAGAAAATGAATGAAAGAATGAACATTATTTACCGTCATCGTGACAAAGATAAAATAAATTAGAAATGAGTTATTAAAACTATTATGTTTAGAAATGTGTTGAAAAAAAATCTTCTGTCCGTTAAACAGAAATTGGGGAAAAAATAAACATGGGGAACTAATAATTCTGACTTCAACTGTGTGTATATATATATATATATAAATATATTGTAATTATAAATAACACAATAAAAATATATTTTTGACACATAACAGGACAAACAAACCTGGATTATTAATGACCAAACTCAAAACATTTCTTTTGCTTTTGTAACACATTGTTTAAATAATCAAGTAGAAAAATAATAATAAAAAGATGTGTATTTTGAGGTTTGTAAAGGATTTATGAAGTTACATACACTTACTTAAAATTATTTCACTATTCCATGTCCAGTAAATATATAGCAGATGTTTGTTAACTTGCTGAAATAGCTCAAATTTGTAGTAACTTTTTGCTGACTAGCATTGTGCAGTAAAAATGTAAGGTTAATGTTATCATACAGTGCTCAGCATAATTGAGTACACCCCATTTTAAAAATGAATATTTCTATCCATTTCTCAGTGAATATGGGTAATACATTTTGGTGCATTAGAACAAAACAAATTTATTAAACATATATATTTACTAAAATAATATTTTAGTCACAAAACATCTTTAGAAACGGAAAGATAAAACAGTTAAATTCATGAAAAATAAAAAGTATTCTTGAAAAAAATAATTACAACCTACAATATTTCAACAAAATGTTATATATTTTTTGTTTTTCTTGATTTTTCCATAACATATAAATGTATTCATTTTCTTTTCGGCTTAGTCCCTTTAACATATAAATTTAAACCATTATTGTAAGTTATTTTGTTAGATAGCTGAGCATTGCATATCTAGCTTTATATCATGTGCAAATATACTTAATCAAATTGTTTCCTTGTGTACTTTCACTTTACTAATACCTATCTCTCTGCTCAGGTCTTGCAGTTATCAGAGGCCTGATGGCTACAAATGAAGATGAGACAAGCTACTATGGCATCAATGGATCACTGAACTGACAGATTCAACGTTAAATTACTTTAACATTCAGAAATGTGAGAAAGACCAGGCCACATTGCAGAGGAAGCTCTATGTTTTTTTTTTTAAACTCAACAGAAACAAGGAAGAGCTGAAAATATGCAGCCCTGTGGTCACAAGTTCTCACATCAGCACTTTAGAGATACGAGTTTCTGCATTGTTATCACATTCTCAAGAGTGTGTCATCTTGTAAGTATGAGTTCAGGTCTGTCACATGGAGAGAGACGATCTGAAAAAAAAAAACAATAACAAACACGCGACACACTGGAGATGAGGTAGTTACTCTGCTGAAAAATTTTCCCAAACATTTCCAAAGATTCCTCTTGCAATCAAAAACACATATACTTTGAATAAAGTAAAGAAAGGTGCTTTTTGAAAAGGTTTCAGACACTGATTTTTTGTTGTTGTTGTTGTTGTCCAAATTTTTTGCAAAGTGACTGATATTTTACAAGGCCAGTCTGAAACAATTCTTTTAAACTGTCCAAACATTGGTGTCAAATTCAGATAATCAACTTTTAAGCCACTAAACCACACTATAATGTGTATATATCATGTGTACACTTGCTGCAGGTATGTTTGCAGTGAAGCTTGTTTGGGCAGTTGTGACTGAAGTGTTTGAAAACAGTTTATTAGCTGTTTGAAACACATTTATCTTACAACCAAAAGGTATTCCTGCATATAAGTGTGCATTAATGTTTGATGGACTACAACATTTATTTATTTATTAACACTTTAGGACATCTATTTTGAAGCAGTTTTCTCCTCTGCCAAGAAAAAACAAGCTTATCTGCTGCGTTCATTTCCATATCATACTAACTACATTTTTATCCACTAGAGGGAGACTTCTTAAAGGGATAGTTCACCCCAAAATGAAAAAAGTTACTCAGCTTTGCACTGTTTAGCAATAATATCCAGCTGCAGGCCCGCAGAACCACACACGTTTTAGGCACACACAATCTAGGACACACAATCTAGGCAAACCATATATGGTTACGACGGATGTTGTGTTATTAACGTCTTTTTGAACATCGTCATCGATATATTTTGATATATGTGGTTAATAAATATTGTACACAATAAACAATAGTGTTTACTTTACTATATTTCACAAATATTGCAATCGAGACGGCCGAATGGGGAGCATTGTTTCCGATCGCCATTCAATATAATAGACTGAACAGTTTTTAATGAGTCATTATAGCTGATCAGTCTTTATTATCTGACAATAATATAGCAGATACTCGTTTGCTGGCCTTGCTAAACGATCTAATTTGGACAGGTTTAGTTTATATAATGCATTAATTTTTAAATGAAGGAAATAATAGCAAGTTTATATAGGCAATAATACATTATATGTAATAAAAATATTTTTACATGTAACAAATGTATAACACTATATTAATATTTTACTCAAGAGATTTAATAGTGTTTATTTATTTGCTTAATTTTCTAATAATCTTTTAATTAATGATTTCCCACATTTAATACTGTAGTAATTTATAGTAAGCAATAAATTGTTTTAAAACCACAATTTAGCCATAGGAACAAATTAACTATTAATAATAAAAAAATAATAAGTATATATATATATATATATATATATATATAGCTGTGACAGATAGTAGTTTATATACAAAAACTTATATATATATATATATATATATATATATATATATATATATTGTTTAAATTATTAACTATAGTAGTAAGTGACATATTATTGTTAGCTATTTATATTTTACAACAAAGTGATTTTAACCAAGTATGATAATATTAAGATCTTGAATTAATTTATTACACTTAATCCAACATTAGACGGTCTATGATTTCTTTGTGTCTGTGGACACATGAATAAAGTCATAATTGACTTTAACCATTTATTTTTATTTACATAATTTTAGTTCAGAAACTGCAGAGATGTTAAAATGATCATAACGATATAATAATAATTATGACTGAAATGAGAAACCATACTTGTGAAATTCAATAGGTGGCGACCATATATGGTTTACCTAAATCGTGTGTCCTAGATTGTGTGTGCCTAAAACGTGTGTGCTGCGGGCCTGCAGCTGGATATATCTCCTGTTTAGTGCAACCCTAATTAAACACTCCTGGTCAAAGTTAGGCTTGTTCGAAACCTACAGATAAGTGTGGTAAAGCAGGGTTGAACTAAACTGAATTTGACACTCCTGCACTAGTGGTTCCAATTCTTTGAGTTTCTTTTCTCTGTTTAACAAAAAAAACGTGACATTTTGGAGAATGTTATAAACTGGTTACTATTGACCATATATTATGAAAGTCAATGGCTTTACAAAATCTTTAAAGCTTAACAAAATGAATTTTATTGACATGTTAGTAGTTTGAGACAATATATTATTTACAAACTAAATTTGTAAAATAACAAAAAAATGTACTGGCAGCTTATTACCAGTTTTTTTCAGCATAATATACAACAGCAACCCAGACAAAATACCACTTTAAGCTATTAAAAATGTTCATAAAAGTCACTTTTTCAAACTTTTCAAGGTTAAAATTTAATGAAAGAAAGACCAAGGTCCCATAATGCAACTCCAATTACGTCTCAGTTACATTTTTATCCACTAGAGGGAGTAGATAGTGAATTTTGGAATCTGCTCGATTTTTTTAATATGGTCATTTAAGTTTAATTGATTGAAAAATAAACCACATACATGAACATTCTTATGATTTTAATCCTCTGTCTAGAAGTATCTACATATGCTAGAATTACAATCAGAAAGGGCCATGTCTATGCAACGTCTGTGGAAGTTCTGGCATATGGATTTTGTTAAAAAGTTGAGGAGTTTGCACCACAAGAGCTTTTGGTGATTACAGCCCTGCTTCCCTTCTGGAGCTCTGGAGATTGTCCATCAATGCCAACCTACCGTTGTACCTGAGTACACTGGGGTTATAATACTGGGTGGCATTGCATTTGAAATAAATTTCTGAAACACAAACTCCAGAAACAAATGGAAAAATCACCCTTTAATTAAAGCAGAGCTGCCTGACTCCTGGGTATCAGCCCACGGTGTGCCAGCAGCAATGCCCCCCTTGCAGTCTTTAAACATGCTGCTGTGGGTAATTTGAGGGGCAGGCGTCATCTCCGCCTGTTAGTGTGACCACTAATTGGAGTCTGGACCGTGGCCTGTACTTGGATGGAGGCAGAGCGGTGTGAATGATATAAGATTACATTGTGGGGGGAGCCGAGGTAGGGGACAGCCACCCAAGAGCTAAGAACTCTATGGAAGGATTCTGAGGAGGGCTGGGTACCACAACCTGGTGCCAATATGGCATTGGTACCTGTCTGACCAGCTTGAAGTTGACTAAATCCGAACACAGATTTCACTTAAAGGGACACTCCACTTAAGTGTTAAACAATGGAGTTTTATGATTTTTAAATCCTTTCAGCCGATCAGCACTTTTAGCTTAGCTTAGCATAAACCACTGAATCGGATTAGACCATTAGCATCTTGTTAAAAAAAGTTTTGATAATTTTCTTATTTAAAGCTTGTCACTTCTGTAGTTAAGGCTATATTGTAGGTCAATATGGCTAGGAACTATACTCTCATTCTGCTGTAATAATCAAGGAACTTTTCTGCTGTACTATGGCTGCAGTAGGCGCAATGATATTGTTGTATTAAATTAGATTAGACCATTGAGTTGGATTAGACCACAGGTATCAAATTCAGTTCCTAGAGGTCCGCTGCTCTGCACAGTTTAGTTCAAACCCACTTAAACACACCTGATCAATCTAATTGAGTCCTTTAGGCTTGTTTAAAACCTAGTGTGGTAGAGCAGGGTTGGAACTAAACTGCAGAGCTGTGGCCGTCCAGGAACTGAGTTTGACACCCCTTGAATTAGACATTAACATCTTGCTCAACAATAAAAAGAGATTTGATACTTTTCTATTTAAAGCTTGTCACTTTTGCAGTTATATTGAGTACTAAGGCTATTTTATAGGTCAATATAGCTAGGAACTATACTCTCCTTTCGGCGTAATAATCAAGGAACTTTTCTGCTGTGCTTTGGCTGCAGTAGACGCAATGGTATTACACAGATCTGATAGCTAACTGGGAATGATTTTTAGGTACTGCGTAATATCATTGTAAGGACCAGGAATTGAACCTGCAAACTTTGAATTACAAGTCTAACTTTCTAATTATTAGGCCATATTTATTTTAAAAAAAATCTCCCCCACATCATTACACTCCAGTAGCCTGAATCATCAACACATGGCGGTATGGATCTATGCTTTCAGGAGGTTTACAGCAAAATTCAACCCTACCATCTGAATTCATTCATTCATTTATTTTCTTTTCGGCTTAGTCCCTTCATTAATCCAGGGTCGCCACAGCAGAATGAACCGCCAACCTATCCAGCATGTTTTTACGCAGCGGATGCCTATCCAGTCACAACCTATCTCTGGGAAACAACCATACACACTCGTTCACACTCATACACTATGGACAATTTAGCCTACCCAATTCACCTGTACCAAATATCTTTGGACTGTGGGGGAAACCGGAGAACCCGGAGGAAACCCTTGTGAACGCAGGGAAAACATGCAAACTCCACACAGAAACGCCAAATGACCCAGCTGAGGCTCGAACCAGCGACCTTTTTGATGTGAGGTGACAGCACAACCTTCTGCGCCACTGCATCGCCTACCATCTGAATGTCACACCTAAAATTGAAACTAAGACCAGGCGACCAGGCAATTTTTTTTCCAGATTTCTATTGTGGTGAGTCTGTCTCTTTTATTGGACTATTCTTTACATACTCTTGAGATGGTTGTGCATGAAAATCCTTCTAAGTTGGCAGGTTTACCCATTGTGATGCTCCATTCAAACATCATGATCACTTTTACAAGCCTCAATGCTTTGAGCTGCTGCCATTTGATTGGCTGATTAGATTTTTACATTTAAAAGCAGTTAAACAAGTTGCTTTTGAATGAGAATATATTGGTAGAAATTGTGCTTGTGGTAAATTCCTGAGTAGGCTGTATTTGATCTTGAACTTAGGGTTATTTGGTTGAATATATTTGATGAAACAATTCCTTTTGGATGGGTTTCAATGGTCACCTTGGTAATGTCTGAGAGTGTATATTTTAAAATGAGAACATCCTAGACTGTGTTTTTCATGGATTTGGATGGAGACATGTAGAAGATGTCATCGCCTATCATATTCTTCTTCCAAACTGAACACTAACCAAAAACTGTCCTACCAGCGCTTTTCAAATTACAACTAACATGTCATACTCGTGTATAAACAGAAACTTGACATTTAGTGCTCCTGTGGCACGACACCATCTTGACCATTTAAAGCTCTATTTTCAGATTCTCATTGGGTTGTTTTATTTAA